ACTCTAACTACAAAGTCACTTTTCATAAAAATGGAACGGCTAGTATCTCAAAAAAGAAACAGACTCTCACAAATAAAATATTGAAGTCTGAAGGAGCTAAAGAGACAACAGATGGAAAAGTTTACTTCACTGACCAACAGTTCATTATAGAACATCTCATTGACTTAGAGTCGAAATATTCTAAACTTTACAACAAACACAAAAAGTTGAAAGGAAAACAAAAACAAATGGCATATGATATTTATGAAGATGTTGACGACACAACTGTTCCAGCAAGTGAGGTAAAGTCAGAGGAACCAAAAAGTGACGAAAAACCAATAGAAGAAGGTGAGCCAAAAACTGAAGATAAACCAAAACCAAAGTTTAGTTTCCAAACTAAACCAAGTCAACCTTCATTAGCTGGTATGGGTTGGCGTCAAAGACTTATGGCAGCAGGTGGTTATGTTAAGTAAAGAAAAAACATTTTTTTATTTTTATAAAAATGCCCCCATATAGAATGGATAGAAAATCTGCTAGAATAAAAGCAGAGTTGCAAAGATATGGTTGGAAAGTTTCGAAAAAGTTTAAATATAGGAAGGGAAGACCCATAAAAGTCTATGACAAATTGTCTGGTCTTCGCTATGAAATGGATTTGGAAACAGCACGTGCAAATTATCCAAACAGACTAGAGAGGTTAGAAGAAGAACGTCTTATGGACATGCCTTTCGATGTTAGTGAACCTCAAGTTGAAGGACACGACGGCTTTGCCAGATTCTACTGGAAACATGACGAACAATTGTATCCTTTGAGAAGGAAAAAAGGAAAAGGTGAAGACGCACATGCTCCCATGGAAAGAACAAGATATGCATATGAAAAGTATCGTGAAGTTAGAAGTAAAATTACATCTGGTCGAACCTTTACAGTAAACTTTGACGAAGGAAAGAACAAAGAAGGCTTCATGGGAGTACTTGCTGCCATACAAGACGGAAATAAGAAAGGATACAATCTCAGATTGACCATAACAGATTTGGACGGTCATATATACTATGCACATGGCAATGAACAAACAGCCGCACAACTTCTTGACGCTTTCAAGACTACAAAGAGAGAACAAATGGTTGACTCCGACTCAGACATCCTGAATGCAATTGAAGGAATTGCAAGTGTAAAGTTCGAATGGTACCAACCTAACCCTCAAGCAGTCAGACAACATGCTGGTTATTTCCCGTTCAGAAATAAGTCTAACATTGACTTGACAAGGTATGGAATTTACAATTCAATTGAAACAATTGTCAATGAACCTTGTATTCTTACATGTCTCAGGAACTCTGGTCTTGTTACAGATGAGAAGATGAAGTATCTTGAGTCATGTGTGAAGACAAGGTACATTCTCAGAGGTCAATTGACAAAAGTTGCACCGTTGGCAAATGTGAATATCCGAGTTAACATTCCTACAGCTAAAGGTTCTTCACACGATGACTATGTTGTTGACAAAGATTTACCATGGTTGAAGATTGTACTTCTCCACAACCACTTCATGTTGAACGAAAGTCTTACAAACCCATTGTTCGGAAAAGGTAAGTGCAACATTGTCAGAGCTGTAAACATTCTTTTCGAGAAAGGTTTGTTGGAACCGATTCCAGATGACAAGCTGACAGAAACTTTTGTACCAAAAGACGAAACAAACTTTTCATTGTTAGCAAGACCTGTGGTTGTTCCAGACAAAGTTCTAGTACAAAAGAAGTACACAGTTCCAAAAGGAGTTGGATTGTTCGGATACCAACCTGAACCAGAAGAACTTCCAATGAGGTTGCAAGAACTTCAAGATGCTATAAACAAACTTCCATTGAGGCATCCGATCGACGTCAAATTGTATTGGAGAGCATCTGAGTTAGGTCAGAAGGTTTTATATGAAACTGGCTGCTTCGACGATGTTTATGAGATAACAGGCGAAGTTTCTCAGAAGATAAGAGACTCACTTGAATTTCCACGAACTGGGCCGATTGGTTGCGACAAGTTTGACTCAGACGAAAAAATATACTATGTCGACCTTAACGCTGCGTACATGAGGTTTGTCCAATATATTCCGACTGGAATTCCAAACGAAGATGGTGAGTTCCCGGGAAGGAACTATACAGTTGGAAAAGTCATACAACAACTGTATGATATTAGGAAAGCTTCAAACCCCAAACTTGCAATGACATTGAAATTACTTATGAATTCGACATGGGGATATTCCATTAAGAAACCTCAAGCGATGAAGAGTAAACACTATGAGAAGGTCGACAACTTTGTTGAAAGGTTCTCTCCTTTTGTCTTGAAGTACGAATTTACTCAAGGTCAAAGTGGCTTAGTAACCACATTAAAACCTATTGTCGAACATTGGTCTTACCCTCAGTTCGCAAAGGCAGTCCTTGACAACTACAACAAATTCTTCTCCGAAGTTAAATCCAAAGTGAAGGTATACTATGAGAACATCGACGCACTCATGACGAACGAAGAAGGATACAACAAACTCATTGAAATGGGTTTAGTCGGTGAGAAGATGGGCTGTTTTAAGCTAGATAAGGTATTTTCCGAAGTTCATGTAATATCGAAAAGGAAATATTGGGGTATGCTTGAAGACGGCACAGAAATAAAACATTGCATGAAATAAAAAATTGCATGAAATAAAAAATTGCATGAAATAAAACATTGCATGAAATAAAAAATTGCATGAAGTAAAAACGTTTTTAAAACAGTATATTTTTACATATATTAAATGCTTCAGGTTGAAAAACAAAGAACAAAAGTAGCAGATACAAAACCGTTAGACTATATCTTTACAAATGCTGGTAGGAATATATCAGATGAAGAAATTTCATCCGGATCATACAGGTTTAACTATCCAATTCGCTGGCTTCAAAGTCCTTCAGATGCAAAGGCAATAGGATTTAGAAGAGTTTTGTTTTCAAATAGAACTAACGCGTTTATGTTCGCAGTATATTTTCATGGGCAGTATAAAGGTTCTGATGGTCTAATAGAAAAATTTGACGAAATGAAAATCTTTACTATTCGTTCAGACGAAAGTCTTGAGAAGACTCTAAATGACTTTCAAACTCAAATAAACAAATACTACTGGGAATTTCAAGAAAAATACCACTCTTTACTAAACGGAACTTACTATCTGAAACTAGAATATGATAAGATGAATTCAACCGTTTCATTTCAAAAGATTGAAATTAACCCTCCAAGAGATACAGAGTTTTTATATTGGGGAGTAGACAAACGTTCTTGGGCACAATTTCTTCGGTTACTAAACCAGAACGAACCATTGCCACCAGATGGTCCATTTAAATTTATACTTCCACCAGCAGATTTGACAGTTTATAGAAACGTGTTTGACCCTCAAAATGTTATATGTCATGCAAGTTTCAGTTCAAGCAACAACAGTTTTCTTTGTATTGGTAAGGACTTTTATGACTTTGCTTCTAAATTCTACGAACCACCTAGTAACAGTTTCTCTGACTTTCAAGTTTGGTTCACACAAACGGTGTGCAGCATATTATACATTGTACTATGACTTTTATCTCGAATTGTCTTTCATATACAACTACGGAAAAGTGCTGAAAAAGTATTGAAAAATGAGTTTTTGGTTGAAAAAAGAGGTGGAACCAAAAGTGGCTCGACCTCAAAACAAGCATTTTGTGAAGAATATACCAACCGCCGGAATTCCGGCGGTTGCTTTTTATACAAAATTCAACAGGTGAATTTTCATGAATTTCCTTAAGATAGAAAAAAATATATTTTAGGCGACCAGGTCACTCGGTCACTCGGTCACTCGGTCAACTAACATCTTTTTGAAAATGGTGACAACATGACATTTTGACAACAACACAGGAAATAGATTTCATCGTATATGTTTTGTCATGATTTCATCGTACATGTTTTGTTGAGATTTCATCGTAAATGTTTTGTTGAGATTTCATCGTATATGTTTTGTCATGATTTCATCGTACATGTTTTGTCGAAACTTCATCGTACATGTTTTGTCGAAACTTCATCGTAATGAGCGTAAATCAGACAAAAATATATATTTTGGTTTTTTTAAAAAAAATATTTTTTTATTTTTATTGTAAGAACAGTATGACAGTCGAAGCAAAAACGTTCACGAACAAATCTAATGGCGAAACATTCACAAAAGGCACTTACAACGGTATTGAAGTCTTACGTAGAGACAAGGATGGTTATATAAATGTAACAAATATGTGTCAGCAGTTTAGGAAGGACTTTAGAAAGTTGTTGGAAAATAAGTCCTGGGAAGAGTATTTTGAGGCATTTTGTGAAGAATATACCAACCGCCGGAATTCCGGCGGTTGCTTTTTATACAAAATTCATGCAGGAATTCCGGATGAAATCAAACAGGTTAGAGGAACGTATGTAGACCCAAGACTTGTAAACTATATCGCAATGTGGGCTTCTCCAAAATATTGTATAGCAGTTGGAAAAATTCTGGATTCCATAGACAAGAAAGTTCATGAGAAATTAGATGAAGAAGAACTTGAAGATACAGTAGAGAATGCAAAACCTTTGTTTGAAGAAGAAGTTAGAAAAATGCATGAAAAACAAATAGAACATGAACGTGAGATATGTTCTGGTTATAGAGACTCTCCATACGAACTAGACCAATGGGAACAAGAAGATTTAAAGAGAGAATTTAGAGAATATGAACTCGCTAAGATAGCATTAGAAGCTGCAGAAAAGAAGTTAAAAGCTTGGGGTTGTTTTGTACAAAAATATTGTGAGTAAATGAACCATTTTTTTTCTATCATCGTAGAAAACACACAAAACTCTTGAATTTTGTATAAAAAAAGCAACCGCCGGAATTCCGGCGGTTGGTATATTCTTCACAAAATGCTTGTTTTGAGGTCGAGCCATTTTTGGCTCCACCGTAGAAAACACACAAAACTCTTGAATTTTGTGCTGAAATAAAATAAAGGTAGTTTTTTAAAAAAATATTTTTTTATTTTTATTGTAAGAACATGTCAGCAACAACAGCACCAAACTCGTTAGTCATGAACCCAACTTCAATGTTAGTAGAGATGAAAAGCTTCATTCCTTCTTCATATACTTTCGAAACAGAAATCCAGAAGATAAAGCAGGAACTTCTCCAAGGAGATCTAAACTGTAGTGCGAAAGATGAAACAAATGAACAGTATCTTTATGAAATGCAGGATATTATTGACCATCTACCTAAACTTCCTGAAATACAACAACAAAAGCTCACTATTCCAGAATTCGATGAAATAGAAGTCAAAGCAACTGACTCAGTAGAAATAAAGAAGTTCATACGTAAGGTAAACTATGAGTTTCTTGGATTTCATTGCAACCACAAAGTCATTGACATATATAAATCTGGGGAGTTTAAGACCTACGACAACTTTGTTTCGTTAGTTGCTGAGTGTGTATGGCAGATAAGAGATAAAGATAGAAGAGGTAAAGTATGGAACCAACAGATAAAACCAGCAGCCTTTGAGTTAAAGAAGACCATCTACGCCTTACTTGTTTTAGCAGGACAAATTTCAGAATATAACGCAAAAATGAACTCACAATGTTCAAAATGTAAAGCAGCAACAAGGAAATATAACTACTTCCGTCAAAGAGATAGAAAGAATGAGAAAAAGACCATACTGACTTAAAGAAAGAAGTAGAGAAACCAGCAGAAGATAAAATGGACATGTTGACATTTCTGAACAAAAACTATCCAACTGCTAACGATCTCCTTCTTTCAGATGTCAAGAAGAAATATAAAGAAACCTTCGGCATAGTTAAAACTTTTGATATCCTTCGTGAAGAAATAGAAGCTACAAAACTGTTTAAAGTCATGAACCATCACAACATATACCATGTCAAACGCTTGTAAATAGTTATGGTAGAAATATATTTTTGTCTGTTTTACACTCATTGACGATGAAAGTCTTGACAAAACACATACGAAGAAGTCTATTTCCTGTGTTGTTGTCAAAATGTCATGTTGTCACACTTTTTCAGAGAAGTTCATTTAACCGAGTGACCGAGTGACCGAGTGACCGGGTGACCTGGTCGCCTAAAATATATTTTTGCTGAGTAAAATGACCAAATTTCATGAATTTCCTCATATGTTTGCGTTCCTAGGAAAATCGAGGAACGAGATTCCATTCGAAAATCGTGAAAAAAACTCATGAAAATCGTGAAAAAATGCGAGTACGTAAAAAAACGTACTCGCCAAAACTCTATGAAAATCGTAAAAAAACTCTATGAAATCATATCTTTTATACAAGATAGAAAAAATAAAATTAAAGTTAGTTTTTATTTTTTTTATTTTTTTATTTTGTATGTAAGAACAGGAAATGTTAAACATTGAGTTTGAAACAGTTAAAAAGATAGACAATGACACCAAAGTGGTTAGAATAGGTGATTTAAACGTAAGATACTCAAAGAAATACAACAAATATTCTTTGTCAGACATTCTAACACTATCTGAAAAGAAAACATCCCACGACTGGGTTAGAAATGCTTCTACTCAGAAAATTTTGACAAGAAATCCTGAGCTTATGATATCGGTAAGATTCTATGGAACAAGAGCATATCTCATCGACAAAAGTCTTATACCAGTAGTTTTGTTATGGTTAGACCCAGTTGTTGGATATAATTTCATAACATATGGTTTGTTCGACTCAGAACGTTGCAGTGAGGGCTTACTTTACATCGTTCAGAAACCGAAGGACTTCAATACAAAAAGATATAAGATAGGAAGAACATATAATATAACTCAAAGATATGACAGTACAGTCAATAGAGTTAAGGTTGTGTTTGTTAACGATATGAGAGCTGCTGAAACAGAACTACTTGAAAAGTTTGAGAAAATGTATGGTGCTCCCACGAAAGGTAAAGAAACGTTTGAAGTAGATGAGATAGATAGTGCTATAAAATTATTTGACGAAGTTGCTGAAAAATACATGTAAAGCGTTTATTTTTGGTCTTTTATACAAGATAGAAAATAACGCTAATTTTATTTTTTTTTATTTTTTTATTTTGTATGTAAAGACAGATATGTCAACAACAGAGAACACAACAACTGCTATCGTTCATGAAGATATAAATGAAGAATATGAGTGGGTTCAGTATAACAAACAGTTACGTCTCATTCGTTCGGTCAAAGATGACATGTACCAAATGCAAAGTATTTTGAATGCTCTTCGTTCTACAAAGCAAGCACGTCATTGGTTTGAAAACCAACAGACAAAAGAACTTTTAGAAGAATTTCCTCATATGTTTGCGACCGGCGGAAAACCGCGGGTCGAGATTCCGTACGAAAATCGTCAAAATTTGCCAAATGGTTTGAGAGGTTGGTATGTACATAGACTTCTTGTAAATGCTGTTGCAATGTGGGCTTCACCTCGCTATGCTTGTTATATTTTCATGATGTTAGATGAAATTCATAGACAAGAACGTGAAGAGCTAGAGAACAAGCTTGAAGCAAAAGACAAAACCATACAGAAAAGAATACCACGTTCGGTACCAAAAGGAAAGGAAAGAAAAGAACTATAAGTATATGATTTACACTGAAGAGATGGAAAATGAAGAAGATAAAGATATGGTTATGTTGCATTTAGTCAGAAGAAACAACAAAAGCTTTTACGACCTTGCTAAGATTTACAAATCTGACAGAAATTGGTTTATCGCGAAAACTTACCGATTTCAATGACACCGAATGAAGATGTTAAACAGATAGTTCAAGATACGTTACCTCAAACACACTATGATATGAAAGGTTGTACAATACTTACATTCAAAGAAGATTTGCCATTACTGAAAGAAAAAATAACAGAGTATTTTGACAACTTCAAACAAGCAGAGTAAATGAACCATTTATTTTTCAAGCTTGACACCAAAGATGGCTCAGGTAGCTCTATAAGGTAAATTGTCTTGTCAAATCCTTCTGGCATTCCGAGTCCTTCCTTCCAACAGGAAAAAAATTTCCTTCCAACAGGAAAAGTTTTTCCTTCCAACAGGAAAAAAATTTCCTTCCGACAGGAAAAAAATTTCCTTCCAACAGGAAAAATTTTTCCAGTTGTCCGTCCGTAAACCATTCAAATTTTCGAAAATTGAGAACTTTTTGGTCGAACTTCAGAAAAAGTTTTTCCTTCCAACAGGAAAAGTTTTTCCTTCCGACAGGAAAAATTTTTCTTTCCGACAGGAAAAGTCCTTCCTTCCGACAGGAAAAGTCCTTCCTTCCGACAGGACACAAACGGATGGCTGACGTTCCTCTTCCTGAATGTCTTCCAAAGCCAGAAGAACCGACAGCCCCAGCACCACAACAGACTAAGACTAAAACACTTACATTTTTACGCTTGACTTTTTACAATTTGAACTTTGTTTGCGTAGATATGAATTCTGAAAGAAGTATGAGGGTCTTGTATGACTTTGTACTTCTCCCATAGTTCATGTCTGTCAAACTTACCTGCCATGGACTCTTTCATAAGTTCCATGAAATCGTCTTCGGACAATCCGGGGAAAAGTATAATATCAGTCAGTATTCTCTTTACATCCTTACTTAAACTCTTGGCTGTCTGTACACAAATGACAACTGAAATGTTAAAGTGTCTGAGCTTCTTAAGAATTCGACACATGTCTTGTTCTCTATTCTTTAACAAAGGATGAGAAGCGAAATCATCTAAGATAAGAAGACATCTGTGAGGGTAAGTCTTCCAATCGTAAGATTGCAATTTCTTCGAAATGTATTCTATCTCTTTCTGTTTGTTTCTGAAGTGTTTCTTCTCTAATATTCTCTGCATTTCCTCATTTGGGTCTTTAAACTTCGAGTTTATATACTCATTTATAGCATTGTACTTCAAAACTCTTCTTTGGTACTTTTTTATCCAATCTAACAACTCAGTATCTTTTATACATACTAACTTAGACTTCTTTATAATATCTTTGAACGAATTGACGGTTTGGTCAAATTGACCAGAAGTCGAACAAATGACTACTAACTCATAGAATGGGTTCTTCTCATCTAGTTCTTGTTGTTGTGCAGCCATTTTAAGATAAGTGAAAGTCTTACCCGACCCAGGTGGTGCGATTAGACCTGTTATACCATTCTGAGCAAATAAGAACTTGTCATGTATGGGTTTTATCTGAGCATTTTCCAACTTCCTCTTGTTCTTGTTTAAAACATTCTCAAATTTCTTGTCAATGTCAGCAAACTTTTTTTCTAACATATTTTTAGAAAAATTAAAATTTTTATCTTTTAGAAAATGTCTAGCGATTTCGCTATCTATATTCGAGACAAGCTTTTCGACAGCAAAACATCTGTCGACCATAAAATCTTACATAGTGTAAACAAGAAAGGGGAATTTGTTCTAAAGTTCTGTTTCTGGGAATATGACAAGAACCATAAAACATTAAGCAGAGCAGTCTTAAAATTTGTCAATGACAGACTTGTTGACAGAGATGACGCCTCTTGGAGAGATGAAGTCCAACAAAACTTCTTAGAATGCAAAGAAGACACATGCGCTGTTCTTGAAAATGAAATAGAAAACAGAATAGAAGAGCTATTAAATGACAAAGCACTTTTACAAAAATATGGTTCTGAGAAGTTTGACATAACTCCACCAGAAAAGAAGAAGAGAGAAAAGAAAGAAAAGAAAGTAGAAGAAGAGAAGAAAGAACCTGAACCAGAGAAGGGGAGATATGACATGTAAAAATAAAATTTTATTTTTAGAACATTTCTGGGTCAATGTCAATGTTCTCTTCCTCTTTAGGAGCAAACACTGGCTTAGACTCTAAAATCTTTTTACCCAATTTACCTTGACTTCAACTATCTTAGACTCATAATATTCATAGTCGTCTGCTTTCTTTGGTTCATAAGGTATAACAAGTTTGTATGCTTTGCCTTCTTTAAGGTTTGAGAACCTTCTGTTCAAAACTTTCTTTGACTGTTAACAAACCTTCTATGTCTAAGTCTTTCAAATTTCGCACCATTTTAGTCACAATAGCAAACTTAACTGGTTCGATGTTCCAAACTTTGTCAAATGTAGACTTTTCAAAATGGTAGAAGTAAACATTTCAAATATGTGAATGGGTCTAGTTCTTCTTTAAGTCTGACATATACTTGTTTACTGAGATGAATTTCGTCATCTTTTCTATCGGATAAAAAAATATTTTTTTTTTAAAATTTACTCAGAAAATTTTTTTTGTATATACACCATTCTGTACGTCTAAAAGACTTTTGACATTTGCCAAGAATGTTCGTTTAGACGCTGTCATATAACCATACTCTTGACAATATTGTTTATTACGAATCGTACAATGACCTTTCATCTAAACACTCAAAGTCAGTCTCATCTTGAACAGTTCATATACACTCTTGTTTGCTTCTAACAATGTTTGTCTCTCTTCGGTATGTGGAATTTGTCTTGGATTGAACTTTGAATATCTAATGTCATGAATAT